GAGTCTTACTACATATCCCACATTTCCCTTTCTGTTTGATGAATAATTTAATCTTGGTAGTTTGATTCAACTTAAGATTATCTATACTCAATTTAGTGTTGAAATCAATCAACTTCTCATAGTCGGGGTGATATGCATGTACCATTTCGAGGTCTTTAGGTATACGATATCTCTTAGGGGTCATAGCAGCAACTACTTGAGTTGGATTCACTAATTCGATATGTTTCCCTCCTAAAGCCTCATTGAAGATAGAGTCCTTATTAGTAAATCCTCTGAACACTCATTTATTTATGTTCCCAGTTTTTACCGTTGTCAATAAATCTTTGTTATCTCAGCTCCTCATAGATCTGATTGTATCTAAGAAGTACCGTCTAGCTATTTTCATCCTTCCTCATCTTGGATGTTTGTGCTCAGCTCACTTTCAGGCAAATTTATATAAATAGAAATTAAGTTCATTTCTTAATTTATAACTCTGTCCTAGATTGAAGTATTGAGCTCATCCTCTTATGACAGGATTAGCTTGTGCTATTAGAGAATAAGATGGTGAATTATATCCTTTTGTAAACATCTCTCTTAGTTTTTCTACAATAGCTTCATATTCCCCTTTTTGAGGGTAACAGGCTATAGCTTCTCGTCCTTGACGATAATTGAATAACTTATATTTACGAGAGATTTCACCAATGTATTGGAAAGTATAACCTAAGAAGTTAAGTTTATCTCCATTTCTGATAGAGAGTATCTTAGTCTTCTCGTCGGAGAGTAAGAGTCCTCTTTGTTTAAGGAAGTTCTCGACACATGGTTTAATCGTTTCTTCTATCATTCGTTTGGATCTTGCTAATACTATGAAGTCGTCAGCAAATCTTACTGTTGACAGATTAGTAGAAATAAAACCATATTTAACTTTACCCTTAGGATCTTTAATCTTTCCACCCCCCTGCGCAGACACACGGAAGCCTATACAGGCTCCTGGAGGGGTGCAGGGGGGGATGTAGATTCCTCTTTTCTTAACGTTGTACTTTTCTTGTACTACCTTTTCTATTTCCGCTTCAAGACCGTTCAAGGTAAAGTTTACTAGAGTTGGGCTAATGATTCCTCCTTGCGGGGTACCACTATCGCTTGCCTCAATTAATTCTCCTTTATGTATGTATCCGGCCTTTAATCAAGAGTTAAGAATAGGTTTAAGTGAGATTTCCAACGGCGCATTAGCTAGGAGTCATTTATGTGATATATTGTTAAATAAACCTTTTATATCTAAGGCATATTTATCCATTCCCCCTGCAGTACTGCAGGGGGAATGGAGATACAATCCTCCATCACTTCTAAGATTAACTCAAAGTGCACCTAACGCCATCTTTGTGGTACGGTATTTCCTAAATCCATAACTATGTCTGTCACTAGTTATTTCTACTAATGGTTCCATTACTAGATTAATAAGAGATTGTAGACATCTATCATGGAGAGTTGGAATTACGAGAGGTCTTTCTTTACCATTGGTTTTTGGAATATAGATTCTCTTAACTGGTTTAGCTTCATAGGACTCTGGTTTCTGGATTATCTCCTTCATCCATTCGACTGCTAGTCATTTGTCCCTATCGCTATCAATTAAGATATTATCTGTCCCTTTAGTTTTACTTCCCTTGTTAGTAAGCACTTTTTTTACTGCTAACATACGAAAGTCTTTCTTAAGGGCCAGGGTTCTCTGAAACTTAAGAACTTTTTCATCCATGGTCTTTTCAGAATTAGAAGCTAACTCTGCTAATTTAATTTGATCTTTACGTACTTTTTGCTCAATGTTCGCTCAAGACGCTTCCCATTTGAGTGCCGGAATGATGTCCTTCCTATAGGTGCTATAGTATCTATCTCTGGCATAACATACTCCAGTACGCGAGATCAGATGCTTGCAGGTCATCCATAGCAATGTAGAATTCTGCCCACCTAACGGTGCCCGGGATTTGATGAAGGGAAGTTCACTGTACCCAGTATCCAGGGCGTTACCCCTGGCATTTGCTTTCTCTACTATCTTGCCCCCGTCTCAGCTGAAACATTCTAGCCTGCTAGGTTTTGAATGAGTCAGGTATGTAACGATACATCTTAGAAGATGTCCTGAGGAGTTGATAAATCAACTCTTTTCCGAGGTTCCCACTTTTAGAATCAATCTGTCCCCACTTAATATAACTTTACGTTCATTAAGTATATTATTGAAATCTGCCATCTGTTCAGGTGTGTATGGATAGAGTGTCCTTAGGTTTGCGATATAACCAAATCTAACTATCTTATTATACACAGCATAGAGCGGACGAAAGTCATATGTAGCTAGTATACCCGTTTTATAATGATGGTTCACTCACGTTCAGGTTTCAATAATGTGGATTCAGCACGCCATTAACTTAACACTAAAATCTTCTTCGCCTGTTAAGCAACGTCTATCCATCAGAACTAATGACATTACCTCGTTGGATAATGCCACTCTGAATAGGCTGTACCAGGTTTGGACACTTCTGGATAACTTAAGTAAGATTGTTCCTCCGTGTCGTAATATATCTTTAGCATTTG